CGTTTCTCCTGATATTTCTCCTTTATTTCAGCACCTTGTTTTTCTCGTTCTACTTTATGGTTACGGTGAACTGACGATCCCGAGATTGGAAAATGATGTAACGAAGCACCGCAAACCTTAACAACTTTTGCTTCAACAGCCATTTGATCTCTTACGTTGAGGCCTAATCAGTCTGAGACATCAGTGAATGATTTTGTCAACGTTGTAGGATCAATTTGAATACAAACGTTTGACGATCTGGTTTTTCTTTTTTGCTGAAATGGAGTGAAAACTTCAACTTCTGAGCTGCTTGACTCATCCTCACTCTTTTTGATGATTTCTTCTACTTCTTGATCACTTAGAGCTGTTATTCTTCTTTTACATATACTGTAAGCATTGACTCTGTTTTCAAGGCGTTCATGGCGATCCGACGTTCTTTTCTCGCTGTGCACGAGTTGCGTCGCAACTAATCATCGAACTAACCTAATTGAAGTAAACAATACAATAACGTAAAATGAAAAATATAACCTTAAGTAAACACAGTACAGCAACATTATTGAAGTAATGCATGAACTTACCTGTGGATACTTCCGTTGGTTCAGTAAAAACTCCCAGTCCTCCTTCCAGGTTGCAAGTCGAGATACGCGTAATATGTAATATGTGTCAACAGCTGATATGTTACAGAGTTGATTCATTGATTGCAAAAACTGGGTTCGTTTCTTCTTGGGGCACTTCTTTCCCTTCTTCAACACAGTTTGCCATTCATTAAAAACTGCAATGAAATACTCGATACACTTGTTATCTGGCTTAACTGGTAAGTGAGCTCTTTTCCAAATTTCTTGTAATTCAATCAAAATATCTTTAAAAATACTTTTTGCGGATACTGTTATTTCACCACTTCCCTTGTTGATTTCTTTAAAGTAGAGGTATCTTCTGAGCAATGCAATTTTAAGGGGAAGTTTTACACTGACACTTAAACTTTTCTCTAATCCAAATCCAATAAAGTAGTCTTGATGAATTCGCGTGGATCTTGCTTTTTCCACTGAAAGATCTTTCTCTTTTATACTAGGTTTCGGTAGTTTACAAGAATGTAGATCTATTTTTGTGGTTACCACTCAGCACAAGCAAAAGCAGATACTTGAGATGCCATTTAACAAAATCTAGCGCAAATTACTTTACTGAAAGTAAAAAAAACAACAACTTTTTTAAGCCTAACAATTACAAAAGCCTTAATTGCTTGTGTTTTAACTATATAAAACTCTAAGTCTAATTTCTTAAAGTAAATAAAACATTTAAAACACTAATTTATTAAAACCAATATTTAAAAAAATTGTATTATTGATTATGTCTAAATCTTATTATTTAATAATACTAACATTAAAACTAAAAAATAGTAATAATATTAATATTAGAATTTTAATATTGAACTTACTGCTAAAACAAAGAAACTTAAAACGAACAACTTAAACTTACAAAATTTTATATTGACCACGTTGCTAAAGAAACAACAGGAAAATTTTCTTTTTACTGAGTGTCCAATTTAAACGCAATCATTGTTTTACAATAATTAATTGGTTAAAATAAGACAATCAATTTTTTTTTTTTTTACTTTTGCATTTCTATATATGTTTTATGAATACATTTTTATAATGAACCAAATTTAAGCCTTTATGGTTAATAACTACTTTCTGATGATGCCAAATTACAAAACCACTTGATTACTTAATTCAGGGGGACCCTTAAATGAATTTTTTTTAACCAAATTTTTTATACAGTATAAATAAGATAGTAAATTATACTGTGTAAAAAGTTGAAGATGTGGCGGAATATATTTGTTAACATTTTGAACAAAAATACTCACAAAACACGGTAAAAAAGGATTAGCTCAACTTTTACTGAATAGGGGGACCCTTAAATTGTTATATTTTATAAAAATACTTAGTAAATGTTATTTTTTTCTTAGTCTAAACCTCAATTTAAAGGTTGGTGTGGTAATTTGAAAATTTTGTGGGAATGGGACACCCTAGCCATTCCTGTCCAAGCCTATATAATGGGCATCTCTTGTGCCATCTACTAAAATTCGCTTCCTTCATCTTGTTTTCCTGATTCACATAATTTGCAATTTTTAAAGTCGTCTGTCAATCGTTATCTTGCTCTACAAATTTCATCTTTTCTCTTCCAGTAACTTCCAACTCTTATAGTGGTTGCTTGCAGCCTTGTTGGAAAATAAGATGTAAAAAAAAATATTGCAAACAAATTACAAAACAGCATTTAACTGTAACACATGCGCAGACAATATAGGGCATTGTCCCCAATAACATAGGTGTGCTAATTAGATTCAGTTTTAGCATTTTCATTACAGTAGACAGTAATTTCAAACATTTTATAAAAACCATCGTTGAATATGGTCAGGGAAATTCATCTGATTTTTCAAAAAGGTCAGGGGAAAGTCAAGGAATTTTATATAAATATTTGGCTATGAACCCTGGATATGTTTGCTATTTATTTAGATGCTGGCATACAATATCCTTTCACTGTGATATAAACTTTAGTATTTATATGGTGTAGTATTTGCCAAAAGATAAGATGATCAGATGGATGTGTGGTGTGACTCTAGCAAGACAAGAAAAAGAGGTATAAAAAAAAATGTTGAATCGAACAATATTTGTTAGAAAAGATTTAAGTAATTTAGGTATTAGCATGTAGAGAGGTAGCATCTTTAGTAGAAAATGGTAGTAATAGAAGTAAGAAAACTTGAAGAGAGTGCCTTACATATTATGTGAATGAGCTTTAGTTAAGAAAATGATGATAATGATCATCATCATGATGATAATAATGATGATTATGATGATCATGTTGATCATAATGATGTTTGTATATACATATATATATGCAAAATATAACATGAATTTTGAATTAAAAAAGTATACTTAAGGATGTATAAATGTTTATGCAGCCCCGGTCACAAACCCAGCCCAGCCCCGGTCAAATATCAACCTCGGTCATTTACTACATATGGGATGTGTTAAAGTGCCTTCTATTGAGCACTACTGGGCTATGAACAGTCTTTATAGATTTCATTGTTTTCTAGAATAATGTCATGAAATAAGTTTTAGCTGTTGCTATGATTCTGGCATTTTGTAAACAATGAAGATTTCTGATAGCAAATGTTTGCATAAGATTAAAGTACTTCTTGACCTCTTGAATAACAAAATGGACAATACATACTTTCCTCATAAAAATATTTCGATTGATGAATTGATGAGGCTTTGGAGGGGACATATATTCAGGCAATACATAAAAAATAAGGCATAAGTATGGAATCAAAATGTATGAACTTCATGAATCAGATAGTGTTGTAATGAAAGTAAAAATCTATTCTGGCAACTCTGAGTAATAAGTTGTTGGGTTAAACAGGAGCCATTGTTTTAGAGATAATGGAGAACTTTCTAGGAAAAGGTTATCACTTGTATATTGATAACTACTACAACTCTTTTGAATTATCAAAGCATATGTTAACAGAAAAAAGATACATATGCGGTTCATTAAGAGGTGATCCTAAGTCAAATAAAAAAAAAAAAAGTACAGCAGCTAAGTTGAAAAAGGGAGACATTGTCAGCAGAAGCAGGAAAGATGTAATTGCGGCTAAATGGAAAGATAAAAGAATCGTTCTAATGATTTGCAATATGCATTAATTAGAGATCGTTAAAGTGACAAACAGAAAAGGTGAAAAGAAACTGAAACCCAATATAATTAGAGTTTATAATGAAGGCATGTCAAGAGTTGATCGGGCTGACCAAGTGGTATTGTTGCTAAATTACTTTCAGTTTTTAAAAAGCATATATATATATATATATATATATATATATATATATATATATATATATATATATATATATATATATATATATATATATATATATATATATATATATATATATATATATATATATATATATATATATATATATATATATATATATATATATATATATATCAACCTTCGGAATTAGGAAAAAAGAGGCAACCTTAAACACTTTTAGGTTTTTTGCCAACCTTAAACACTTTTAGGTTGGCATTGTCGAATGGCTACCCTAATTCTGAGGGTTGATACATTTTGCACTTAAGGCAATTCACACTTATGCCAATGTTTTTAAATTTTCTTGGCGCGCATATGCCATTTCGTTCTTGTGTCAGTTTTTGCAACTGAATGCATTTATGCAAGTTCGCACTTATGCTATTTTGCACTTATGTTATTCGTACCTATCCCAGTTTGCACTTTGTGAAATTTGTGCTTATTCAGTCATCCCAGACAACAATCTTCTTCAAAATTTAACTCTATGTCATCTATCAAAAATGATTTAACCCAATAATTCAAATGTAAAGATAATCAATGTAAGGTTTGTCAATTATATCTATTAGTAGGTAAGTATAAGACATCCAATTATTGGTATTAAAAGTTTTGCATTACTTGTAATTGCAAAAATCTAATTTATTATTCAAGTTATTTATCGTGTATATCATTGTATAATGGACTTTTTACATATACTGGATAATAAAATAATTTAAGAAACTGTACAAATAGCCATATTTCTGTTTGCATAACTAGAAAATCAATAGACTGATTTGAAAATCATGTGATTGCCAGAGATTGTACAATAAAACTATGGAACATTTCTTCAAGCTCTTTGATTTTCTTGTATTAAAAAGTTAAAAATATTTGTTTTCCTATAAAATTCATTTGTACAAACAAAAACTTTAATACTTTATTTTTTAAAAAGTGGTAACTCAGTTACAAAACATTTTTAACTGATTTGTAACAAAATGTTTGTATTATCCAATTGTTTAAAAAAAACATATAAAAGCCCTGATAATTGATGCAACATTTTTTGCTTTGATTAGTAATTCTAGCTAGAATCATAATAACTAATTCAGGTAAATCCATATTTAAAACTTGGTTATACAAAACTGGTATATCATTTATTTGATAACTCTAATATATATTCAAACTTTTTGTGCAGATGATTTGGCTAGATTGGTAGATGAGACTGAAAATACAGAATGTGAAGATACAAATCATTCTCAAGAAATTGAAAATCAAACTCAAAATTTAAACACACATGATAAGCAGATTCTGCAAAAGGTTGTTATATATTCAAGTTTTATTTATTGAAATTATTTTATTTGTAATATTATATTTTTTGTGTGCATTAAAAATAGTATATTATTACTAATTTATATATATATATATATATATATATATATATATATATATATATATATATATATATATATATATATATATATATATATATATATATATACACACACACACATTTCATTCACATCAGGCGTTATGCGTACAGCAATTTACATATGTCTCAAGCGATTTTAAATGAGCAGTAAGCGATTTTGGTTAAGCTTTTATCATTTTTTTTCTTGTAAATTATTCTAAAAGCAGTAAGATAGAAGTAATTATTTAAAAAGTCACATTAACTTTTAAATGACATTTATGTAAAAATATTTGTTATCAAAGTTTTTAAATTTATTTTATTTTGTTTTTATTTTATTGTAATAATTGATTTTTTTGCTTGAAAAACGTTAATACTTTAGGCTTGAAGCAAAAATCATAATAATATAGTTAAATTCTGATAAAAAATATATGATTTAATTTAAAACTAGTTTAATAAAAATATGTAATTTTATTCTGATAAAAAAAAATAATTTTGATTTAAAAAATATATAATTTAATTTTGATTTAAAAAATATATTTAAGTATATTAAAATTAAAGTTAATGTTTAGGTTTAACTTAACTGTCAAATTTATTTAAAAATATCTTTAAAAAATTTATTTGTTCTTAAAAAAAATTAGCTCATTTTTACTGCGATTGTTTTTTCCATTTTCCGTTTTTATTTTTTTATTCAAAATAAGATTTTGAATAAAAAAATAAAAATGCTGCATCAAAAATTTTCACAAAATTTAAGTTAAACTTTTTTTTTATAACGCAAGTTAAATTGCAAAAATATTTTTTAATATTAATTAACGCTACATATAGCAATGTAATTTTAATAAATGATATTTGGAAAAATGATCTTTGCTTTCACAACAAAATTGTTGATAAAATAACAAACTTTTAATAAATAAAGATAATTTTTTTAGTTACTCTAATTTTTTTAATTATTCTAATTTTTTTTTAAATAAAAAATCTTTTGTAGTTCCAAAGCTGCAATTAGAAATTTAAAAATAGTCATTTAAAAATTCAAAAATGTAAAATATTTTAATTCATTTATGCAAATGTCGAGAAAAGAAAGAAATTTAATATTAAAAAAATAAATGAAATAAACTTTCCCTTATAGTAATAATAAAAAAGAAGTTGAATAACATTTAACTCGTATTGTGGTAATTAATATTATTTACAGTAATTTAAAAAACTCAATGTCTTTAAAAAATAAAAAAATAAAGAGAATTTTATGACGTCAAGTTCACATTAGTGAACTTGACGTCATAAAATTCTTTTTTTTTCCTATTTAAATTAATTTCATAACGTCATAAAATTTTTTTTTTCCTATTTAAATTAATTTTAATTTCTTATTTTGTTAGTTTTGCTTTTTTTGTTTTTTCCACAACGCCATGACCAAGTTGTCTAAAGTAAAATACTTATGTGTGGACATACAAGATGAAAAATAGCACATATTTCGTGGAAGACTTGAAATTTGTATATGTTTTTCTCTTTTATTTTCATGCAGTTCACTTATGGTCTTGCACAAAAGTCATGCATGAAAGTTGTCAATTTGTCTATTTCATGTAGTTATTTTTAGGAAAACAAACTACCTGTGAGCGTTTCAAATAAAAGATTATATCCTTACAACTCATTTTCAATGAGAAATAGCAGTCATTAAGTAATTCCAGCGTTTTAATTTTAAGAGTTTTCAATTATAGCGTTTAGGAAATTGTTATGTTTTTCAAACTATTGCATCATTACCATGCTCACTCAAAAAATATATATTTAATTGTTCAAAACTTAATTTTCTTTGCTATTTCAAATAAACTAAAAATAACAAAACAAACTTATTTAAATAAAACAGCAAAAGAGATTTAATAGTATTTAAACCTAACCCTAACCTTAACCCTGCCCTAACCCAAACCCTTTATCGGTGTAACAATACTTCCTTTGTGAATTCAAAAAAAAGTAATTTGTGTTTTGTTTAATTTTTCATTTTTGTAAACCTTTGATTAGGTCAAATTTGAAGTTGGTTATTTTGTTTTTGTTTTACTTTTTTTTGTTTTTTTGGTATTATTATCCAAACCAAGATATCTTGTCAATAATTAAGTAGTGAATAATCTCTTTTATCACTATATTCTTATTTATAAAAAAATCTTTATAGATATAAATATATTAATTTATCATTGTATTTAGATAAATGAAAAATATAAACTAAACATTATTAAGTAGATAAAGAAGTTAATTTAACCAATTTTTTAATAAAAGTGAATTGGCATAACCTTTAGAGGATATCAATTTTCTAATTGCTCCATTAATTAAAACTGTATTCTTAATGCACTACCAATCAAAACTGTTTTCTGATTGCTCAACCATTAAAAAAAGCATTCATTATGGACAACTGCATTTCAATTGCTCCACCAATCCAAAAAGCATTATAATTGTTTTACCAATTCTAAAAAAAGTTTGACAAATCAATTTATAGTTAATTTAAAAAAAAAAAGTCTAAAAAGTAACTAACAAATAATTTAAAGTTTTTGTATGTTAATTTTTAAACCTAATTGTTTTGTTTTGAGAATTTTTGGAACGCAAGAATAAAAAGAATCCAAATATATAACTGTCAAAGCCAAAAAAAAAATTATTTAGAAGATGATTTTTCATCCTTTTCATTCTTTTTTTCTATACATTAAATGACATTATAAACATATTAAAAGCTCAAAAAGATTTGAAGCTCAAAACCTTAACAATGAAATAAAAGTTTTTGAAACTTTATAATAAACATAAACTTTTTTTACTACTATACCTGGTTCACTTTACTCTTCAAAGATGATAGGTGGCTTTTAGATAACAGTTCTTTAAATATAAAAAATAAAAATAGAAAAATAAGGAAACTTAACTTGAATCTAATTGAATATTTAAATAAAATGTAACTTAAATAAATAATAAATAAATACATATGTTTTTCAACAGCTACTGTGTTTTGCCAGAATAGTGGATAAAGTTAGCAAAACACTTGCTCAGCTGTGCAACAAATTATTATATTAGTGAAATTTTTAAAATTATTATTCACGAGATTTTAATTTAACATTCAAGAGTCTGGGGAATAGTTCACCATTAAATAAGATTTTAGTTTTTTCTTATAAATAGTTTTTTTTTTTTTTGTCACGGATGATATTTGAAAGTATATTCCAAAGTTTAGGACCATATAGGGATAATGCTCAGTTACCCCACTATGGTCCACTATGGTCTAATTTTACTCTTCTTTCTTACATTGAGTAGTGAATGAAATTACATAATGTCATTGGTGCTTCCAGAATAATAGATTTGTGCATTATTAAAAGGACCTTGAAATATATTTTTTCTCTAATATTCAGCCAATTCAGTTTGTTGAATTCCTGGTTGTTTACATGATTTTCTAATCTAGTTTTAAATTCTTTAGTCTTTCTGCACAATTTTATGCAAACATTTTTTACAAACAATTTTATATTTTATACAAACAATTTTAAACAAACGATTTTATACAAACTTATATACAATTTTATTATTTACAACTTATATACAATTACAACTTATATACAATACAATTTTATACAAACTTATATACAAAATTTTATACAAACAATTTTATACAGTTTTTTTGATAGTGACTATTCAATTCCAAAGTAGTTGCAATAATCTAGCTGTGCAAATATTAGTGAACAATTGTTGTGCAAGAATTGTTTAAAGAATTGTTTTATTTTGGATATTTTGCTCAATATATTGTAGCAGTTTTTAACAATCTTATTTATTTATGTTTTTAAAGATAATTCATTGTCAAGTATCACTCCAAAACATTTTGCTGTGTCAACAAATTTAATGCATTCCTTGTTAATAAAAGTACCTTTAATACTAATATCTTTTTGAATGCTAGATGGTGCCATAAATAGTTTTTTTTTTCTATTGGTTAATACATGACAATGATTCACTCATCCATTTAGATATGTATTCTATTGATTAATACATGACAATGATTCACTCATTCATTTAGATATGTATTCTATTGGTTAATACATGACAACGGTTCACTCATTCATTTAGATATGTATTCAAGACATTTAGATATGTATTCAAGACATTTAGATATGTATTCAAGACATTTAGATATGTATCAAAATATTCTATTGGTTAATACATGACAATGGTTCACTCATTCATTTAGATATGTATTCAAGACATTTAGATATGTATTCAAGACATTTAGATATGTATTCAAGACATTTAGATATGTATTCAAGACATTTAGATATATATTCAAGACATTTAGATATGTATTCAAGACATTTTGGTTTATCTAGAACTAGAGCATTATATTGAGATAAAGGAAGGAATGTTTTTAAAGTTTGATGATCATCTGAGTATCCAAAAGTTTTAACATTGATTATGTTTAGATATTTGTTTATTGGTCTCATATAGATATTAAAGAGTTTTGAACCCAGGACTGCACCTTGTGGTGCTCCATATTTTACATTTTGGTTCGTGGAATATGAGTTACCAATTTTAACTTTTTGTGTACAATTAACTAAAAATGGTTTGAACCACTTGTGAGCTGAGTCAATTATACCTATTTCACTGGTTAATAGTCCAAGTAGTTTTTGTTGATCAATTGTGTCTAAGGCAGCATTTAGATCAAGTATCATTAGTACTGAAGGTGTATGTTTATCAAAGAGTTCAAATATATCATAGGTAAGCTTAAGTAAAAGTGTTTCAGTTGAGTGATGTTTTTTTTATCCATATTGATGTTCTATATGAAGATTGTTTGTTATCATGTAGGAATCAAGACAATTAGAAACTACTCTTTCTATAAGCTTGCTAATGAATACTAAACTAGAAACTAGTCTATAATTTTTGAAGTCTTCTGTATCTGCTGCAGAGTCTAACTTCT